AGTGGGTGGCAGCCTGACAGTAACCTGCACACACAGAGCTTTGAGGTAAAGCCATCCTCCTTGCCTGTCTGCCTTCCCATGTCGCTGCTATGCTCGCTCATTGTTCCTGCTGTTACCATCCTCTTAACACAGCCTTCTACTGTGACTGAAGGCCAGTGGCTTCCAGTTCTCCAGGCCTTCAGCAACAGACCGGGACAAAGGATGCATCTGGCCTGTGGACTGAGCCAGGTTCATAGGCATCCAATGTACAGGCAGTCATTGTTAGATTATCCAGCCTCTCTGATGTAAGCCACTCTAATAAATCCTTTTATAATATATATTCACCCTATCGGTTCTGTTCTTCTAGAGAACCCTAATAGCATGTTCTTAGCCTTTAAACCTCGGTGTTGGTTAAGGCACATTAGGTTAAGGCAGAATAATTGCAGACTAACTGCTTATTCCAACAGAATGAAAGAAGTCCGATGACATGAGCCCACTGCCCTGACAATGCTGGGCTTAATAGTACATTTATGTTGGGTCCACAATCAGGACAATATGGCCGAGATGAGGATCGAGTCTGAGATGCGACCTCAGCAAGCACCTGGATGCTTTACTCTGTAGCTTTAGGGGTCTTAGGTCTAATCTTCGAGGTTCATTTTTCAAAGCTCTTCCAAAACTTCCATAGCAGTCTTGGACTTGCTCTTTTCGAATCTCTGACCATCTAGTCAGTGACTGATTATACATCTTGACCTCTGCTCATGTATCCTTCAAGTCAAAGCGCTGATAAAGAGCACTGTTTGCAATCCCACCCACTGAGACCTTCCCTTCTCTGTCCTTCTAGACATCCCTGGGCAGGGACTGTGATAAACCACAGTGCCCTTCCGGCTGGCAGTGCACATCACTCAATATCTACAAACCAGGCTCTCTCTCTCTCTCCGTTTTTCAAGATAGGGTTTCTCTTTATAGCCCTGGCTATTCCAGAACTCACTCTATAGACCAGGCTGGCCTCGAAATCAGAGATCTACCTGCCTTCTCCTAAGTGCTGGGATTAAAGACGTGCACAATCAAGGCCTGGCTTAGGCGGGCCTTTTTCATTGTTGGATCATTGAACAATAACATTCCACAGTGGAGAAGGGACAGACTGGCAGGAATATTATATAGAAACAGGGCATTTTAAGGCCCAGAGTAGGGGACCTGCTCACACTAATTCTATGTGCCTTCACAGCCTCCTCTGGTCCTCGCTATGAAGCATTTTATAAAGTTGGATCAGAGCACTGGTGACCCATAGTCTCCAACGCTGCCAGTAGTAAATAAGAGCGGTTTCTTTAAAGGAAAACAATTGCCTTCCTGAAGACAGATACAGTCTTGCTCCTAGGCTCTTGGCTTCCATCGTATTTCTTCTAAGTTCCAGAAAGTACCAGACACTGAGAGGGGTGGGCAGCAAAACTGCCTAGGCTTCAGCTGGACCTAGGGAGAATGGATCACGTAAAGCAGTATTTCTCAACCTGGGAGTCATGACCCCTCTGGGGGTGGGGGGTTGAACAACCCTTTCACGTGGGTCACCATCAGAAAACACATATTTACATTACAATCATAACAGTAGCAAAATGACAGTTGTGAAGTAGCAATGAAAATAATCTTATAGTGCAAGTCAGCCTTGAACTCACGACCCTCTTGCTTCAACTTCCTGGGCCATGTGCTGCCACACTCGATTGACTTGCGTTGGCATCTTAAGTAACCCGTGAGTTCTTTTACGGAAGGCTGTTTTTTTTCTGGAATATCTGCGCTATTAGCTAAACTACCACCAAAATGCACCAACTCGTAGTTTTATATGAATGTTGATGTGTTTGTAGCATAAATAGAATTATTGAGACATCCTTAATTTGTGCAATATTGTATTTCGAGGTTGAGTTATCAATTAAAAACACACATCTTTGTAATCCTAAAGAAAATAATCATATGGCTGGGCCCACCACATGGGGTATTAAAGGGTCACAGCACCAGGAAGGTTGAGAACCACTGTCCTAGAGGCTGACTTTGGTTTGCTAGCTTTTCAGGTCAACCAATAAATAAAAATGTCTGTGTACTGGATGCCATCTCAGAAACTGGACAACACAGGGCACTCTCCTCTTCCCTCTTTTCTCTTTACCTTCCTTTTTGGAAAAGGATCTTACCTTAGATGAACCCAAACTGGCCTAGCCTGAAACTACGTAGCCCAGGCTAGCTTGAAGCTCAATCCTTCTGCCTCAGCCCAAGTACGTCAATCACAGGCACGCACCACCACATGCAGCAGCGCCACGCTTCTTAGTTGTAGAAGAGCTGAGGTATAGAGTGCTGGCTCCCTTGCACTCCTGGGAGGTTTTTGTTTTATTTACCAGTCTCTATATTGCTTTTATTTAAAGTTTTTGTCACTATACACTATTTATTGATAACAGTGTCCCTTTGTTTCTGAGACTCAGATCCCAATCTCTGGCACACTCATATCTTACCAGAGCATCTAAGGTGTGGTGCTTCCTGCTTTGCATTAGTGTAGTGAGCTAATGTCCCATCTCATGATTCCGTGAGTCACTTGTCCTCATGGACAAATCTTGGGACAGACCTGTAAAGGTATTCCTGTCCCTGCTGATAGACTCTGCAGATCAAAATGGATCAAAGTGAAGTCGTTAGACTAAAAGTTACTTACCACGCTTGCTCCAACAAAGAGAACATTTCCAAAATCGCAACTGCAGTGCTAGTCACTTCAAGACTTAGTTTCACAACAGATCCAGTGTCGTGCTCTACGACCTGCCAATCGTTCTCATTGAAGAACAAGAAGTATTTGGAGATACAACAGGAATTACATTTGTATCTTTATAGCCTCTGATGGTTGAGCCAATCTCTATAATTATCCCAAAGATAGATTCCCTTTTCATTTAGCATTTTGATAGAAAGGAGTAGTCCATTCTATTATTATAATGAAACGCTTGATGCGTATAGCCTTAGAAAGGAAAGTTGTTTAACAGAACATACTTGTGCATGCCTTTAATCCCAGCACTTGGGATGTGGTACAGGTAGATCTCTGTGAATTCAAGGCCAGCCTGGCCTACTGAGTTTCAGGTCAGCTAGGGGGCCACAGTGAGACCCTGTCTCCCCGCTACTCCCAGATGCTTATTTTGGCTCACAGTTTTGATGCAAGGTCAAGGAAAAGTTTTCTGGTGATAACTTTCTAGTAGTTTCAAGACGGTGCAAGGAAGACAACAGATCATGCCTGCATTCAGATCTCCTTCCATCTTATAAAGTTACCAGCACTGAATCACAGGGTTCTGCACCGACGTCCCCATCTAACTCCAGTCACTCCCCCCAAAACCCACCTCTCCGTACCATGGCCAGACTAAATTTCTACCCTCTTCATAGCTCACACTGGGAATTTAGATTTCAACACATAGCCAGGTGTGGTGGCACATGCTTGTAATCCCAGCACTTGGGGAGCTAGAGACAGGTGGATCTCTGTGAGTTCAAAAAAGATTCCAACACCTGAACCCTTAGGGACACACTTAAAACACAGAAGTTTGGAGTGACTCAGACTGGCCTTTGCACCACAGGGACACTCAGACCCCAGGACAGGGGGCCAATACTCCCACACTACAAATGTTGTCTACCCCACCTACAGTCAATAAATGAGGATATACACCATGCAACTGGGTTGTGCACGCACAGGCCAGGGTCCTGGAGTTCACATAATCTCTATAATCCTTGATTCTCACAATAACAGCAATTACCAAAACTAGAGTTAGCTTTGAGTATATATTTACGGATCCTTGGAATTTGGGGCTAATTCCTTCCTAAGTATACGTCACTTATGACAATGGTTACCTAGGCAAGCCTTCTCTACATACCTTCTGTTACAATACAGTCTGAGTCAGGGGCTAAGAACTGCTTGGTTCCTCTTACCAATCAACTTCTAGGGTCATAAAAACCAATGCTGTTGACAGAGGAGTCAATGGAAGATGAACACAGCATGCAATAACCTCAACCCAGCACAGGCCACCTTTTATTGTTCAGCCCTGTGCTCCATCATCAATCAGCAAAATGCAGAAAACTGCCCTAAAGAATCTGCTGAACAGTTGTCTCCCAAGGGCTCTGGATTCAGCCTGATCCAGCTAAATAAGGGATACTCAAGGGGAAGGAAGGCTTGAAGCAAACAGTTTGTTTTACCAACTGAGGAAGTTTTAGAACTGGTTCTGCCGAGTTGATTTCTTTGTCTCCGAAGCTCACAACCTTGGCTTCAAATGGAACCACAGGGTAGATGGTCAAAATGTATCAGCATCTTGGAGATGCTAGCTCTGTTGCCTGGCTTTCTGGATTTTAAAAAGTGATCCAAAGCCAGATGTGATGTTGCGTGCCTGGAATTCCAGGAAAATCAGGAGGTCCAGGTCACCCTCAGCTCTAGTACACTAAGTCTGAGGCTAGCCTGGGCTACATGAGTTCCTGTCTTAAAAAAAAAAAAAAAAAGGACTAGATTGAAATGTGAAGAATTAAAACAAACTATTACCCAGGAAATAGGACGAAATGCCAGGTGGTGGTAGTGGACATCTTGAATTCTAGCGCTTGGGAGGCAGAGGCAGGTGGATCTCTTGAGTTCTGGGCCAGACTGGTCTACAAAACAAGTTCCAGAACAGCCAGGGCTGTGACACAGAGAAATCCTGTCTTGAAAAAACAAACAAACAAACAAACAAACAAAAGGACATCTAGAATAACCTTCCCCATAGAAACCCACATTAGACGTGCTGAGCCGTGATGCCACTCAGAGTTTGTGCCTCTCCATTTCTCGCTGGCTCAGGTTAGAATTAGGCCTGCCCGTATCAACCAGCTACGGAAGACAGTCATGAGGCATAAACATGACCACTGGGACTATGTCGTAGAATTGGGAACCTTCTACCAGATAGCCAACCTCAGTGAAACCTGTCTTAATTACCCTCCCTCATGCATGAGCTTCTATTTTACAGGTGATGAATGACAGATGGCAAAAATGCACCAGACACTGCTTGGTCAAGCAACTTTAATCACGTTCATGGTCAGCTGTAGAGGTGTGATTCCAAAGGAAGTACTGCACCATCCTGTACATGCCAGAAGCGGGCTCCACTGTTGTCACTTGTAAGGTGTCGAAGGTGGGACCCATTCCTGAATCTTCTTTCGCGTGGTGGAATAAGGAACATATTGCTCCGGAGTGCCAGTCAAGTTGAATTTATGGTTTTTCCAGATGAATTTCCGAGCAGTCAGTGGTTTTGTTGTTGGAGGGTCGTCAGTCATGCAGTGAAGCCAGCGGTGCCTTAAACAGGAGAAATCCAAGTTATGGTCTAAGGTTAGACTGCAGCACAGTACCTAGAACCCTGCCTGGATGGCACTGAGCATATGCTAGCTCTTGCCATCACCATCACCATCATCACACCTCCCCGATTTAAGGCATCATCCCTTTCAGTTACATCACTATTTTACACAGTGTTGCTTGTAACGCGGATCATGACTGTGGGTGTGAAAATGTTACTCTAGGGTTGAGAGTATGAGAGCTTAAGGTTTCACTATGGATATTTAATATGCTCAGGTCCCTCAGGCTCAAATTCATGAGGGCCTTCTGGAAAAAATGATTTCTGCATGTGTCGTCAATTCAAGCTGGAGTCTGAACTCTATAGAATAAACAGCTTGTATTAAAAATACTAAATCTTGGGACTGGGGACTAGGTTGGTGCAAGAACACTTGCCTCATTCTCTAGCTCTGTGTGTGGGGGGGGGTAGGGAGGTTGAGGGGATAGAATAATAGTGCCATGCTGGGCAAGGTGGTGCACACCTGCAATCCTAGATGCTCCATAGGCCGAAGTGGGAGGAATGTTTGAGCTCAGGAGTCCTGGCCAGCTCAAACAACATGAGACCCTGTCTCTTATAATAAGCAAACTACACAGTTAAGATTCAAACAAGATTTTGATTAAAAAAAAAAAATCGTTAGAGCAACATAACTATGTAAGTTCTACAATGTTGCTCAAAATACCCCACATTCTTCCTTTAGAATGAACTGACCAGGCACATAAGAAAATCAGTCAATACTGAATAGCAACAAGTAGTTGTTACATTTAAAAAAATGAGTATAGTCACCTTATTGCTTTACAACATTTTCTTTATTTTCTTAAACAATACTCAAGAGATAAGAGACATATTCTGTCATGACTGAAGGTACTGAGACTCAGAATGCAGCGCAAAAACAAGGGGTTTCTGAAAGTGTTCACACGCTAATGGAACAAGAATACAATTTCCAGAGCTGAGGGTGTATCTTAGAAGTAGAGAGAGGGTCAGGCATGGATGAGGCCTGGGTTAGAACAACAAAATGAAACAAAACTTCCCAGTTCCTCAGGAGGTTAAAAATTAACACTGACATGGTGCTACATTACCCCAACAGTATGAAGCAGGATTGGAATGGTGACATTCTAGACTGGGCTACAATAGCAAGACCCTGTCTCGAGCAAGCAAGCAAGCAAGCAAGCAAGCAAGCAAACAGACAGACAGACAGAAATATAAAACCGTAGCTTAAAATTCCCAAGTATTTTGGCCTCAAAGGATATCTAAGTTTAAAGAGGGGCAGAGAGATGGCTCAGCAGGTAAAGGTGCTTACCCCCAAGGCCAACAACCTGAGTTCAACCCCTGGAACCCACATAGTGGAAGGAGAGACTGACTCCTTAGACCATGAACAGCCTCAGCAAGCATAGCATACATACACAAACACATGTAAACACACACACACACACAAACAAACAAACAAATAAGTATACATTCTAAAGGCTATCTGGAGGGAGACTTTAAGAACCTGGCACAACACAGAGTAGAAATCAAAGAGCCCAGTAATGAGAAAGGATTCCAAGTTCAAGAGACCAAAAAAAAAAAAAAAAAAGGCAGCAGAAAGCAGAAAATTTATGTGGGGAAAGGAAGAAGAGAGAGAGAGAGGCTGTCAAACCAGATCCCTCAAGACCCTGGAGCTTCTAAGAGGAGAAAGAGCTGCAGAACTTGAACCGTAGCTCCAAGGGAGATTGATTACTTATTCACAGAGAAGAGGGTAAGAGGAAAAGGCTTTACTCCAATGAGTAACCGAGAAGCTGAGCACTCTGCTGGCTGGGACCAGCTGCCAGCAGTAATGGCTGGCCTCAGCTGAGCCACTGGCTAAACCAGTAAGAACAGAGGTATATATTACATTCCTATTTGAATTTAATCATGTATCACTGTATCATGATCAGTGAACAACCAAGAATGAAGAAGTCTATGCAGGCTGGATTGGTGTTTACCATACATCCTCTAAAGCAGTGGTTCTCAGCCTTCCTAACGCTGCAGCTCTTTTAACAGTTCCTCATGTTGTGGTGACCTCCAATCATAAAATATTTTCATTGCCACTTCAGAACTGTAATTTTGCTACTTTTACGAATCATAATGTAAATAGCTGTATTTTCAGACAGTCTTAGGCGACCCTTGTGAAAGGGTCATTTGACCTCCAAAGGGATCATAATCCACAGGTTGAGAACCACTACTCTATTTTTAAAAAATGATTATTATTACTATTGTTGTTGTTATTGTTTTTCAAGATAGGGTTTCTCTGTGTAGCCTTGGCTGTCCTGGACTTACATTGTAGGCCAGGCTGGCCTTGAACTCACAGAGACCACCTGCCTCCGCCTTCCTGAGTGCGGGATTACAGGCGTGCTCTACCTCGACTGGCTGAGTGAGAACCACTGCTCTAAAGGAAACAGGATTACTCAAGTGACAGGACCAACAAACCAGTAACTAAATATGGAAACCCTTGTGGCTGCTGGTTGTGAGACAAGCTCCATCAATTACTAAGAAGAAGGATTAGCTGTCAAAGCAAGCTTGTCACATCCCAAAGGGTTTTATGTGAATTTAAGACATAGTGAAGAGAGTTGACTTTTACCTCACTGATTCAGTTTAAGTAATAAATAATGTTTAAGAAACCAGACTCCAAAACTTGCAAATGCCTGTTTGGTTACTTAAGTGAGAAATTGAAGAGCTTACAGAAAATGCAAAAAAAAAAAAAAAAAAATTATTGTAATTTATAAAATTTGAAATCTTTGAGCTGATAACAGGTGAGCATCAGGAAACAAGTAAGCAACCATCAGCTGGGTGTGCAGTGCATGCCTTAGTCCCAAGCGCTAGCAAGGCAGAAGCAGCTGAATCTCTATGAATTTGACACCAGCCTGAATTACATAGTGAGACCCTGTTACAAAAGCCAACACGCGCGCGCACACACACACACATACACACACACACTATAATCGTTAGGATACAAAGAAATAAAATATTTACAGTCTGCCAGGCTAATAATGTAACCTTCTGTTTTTGTTACGATTATTAAATAAAAGGGGAAAATAGTATCTTTTAGATTTCCACACCAAAGTATTTTATTTGCAAAGTGTTTTCAACTAAGGGTCATACTTATTTAAAAGACTTAAAGATGCCAGCGTTCTAAGAGCACTGTCTATAAGATTGGCGACTGTTGTTCTATAGAAACAAATCAAACATCTTGGCAGAGTCCCTAAGACCACAAATAAGGACATGGGCAAAAAGAAGAAAAGTTACGAAGATAAAGAGACTTTATAATGAAATGACGTAACATTAGGGAAAAATCAATACTCAAATATACTGGTCTATTAACATAACTGGAAACAAAGATACTAAATCATAATTACTCAAATCCTGCCCATGCCATCTACCCAACACAAGCTTATATAAACTTAAAAAAAAAAATCAAACATGGTTTTATAAGATGGCCAACTCAAATCTTGTTAACATAGTGATTACTGGAGCCGGGCATAGTGGTGCAAGCCTGTAATTCCAGCTCTGTGAGTTCGAGGGCAGCCTGGTCTACAAAGCGAGTCTGGGACAGCCAAGGCTACACAGAGAAACTCTGTCTCAAAAAACCAAAAGAGCAGGGAATCATATGAAAGAAGGGAAGTTAGTATGACGTGGAAAGGATAGGAGCTCCACAAGGACCAAATATATCTGGGCACAGGGGTCTTTTCTGAGACTGACACTCCACCAAGGACCATGTATGGATATAATCTAGAACCTCTGCTCAGATGAAGCCCATGGTAGCTCAGTAACCAATTGGTTTCCCATAGTAAGGGGAACAGGGACTATTTATAACAGAAACTCAATGGCAGGCACTTTGACCTCCCCACCCCCCAAGGGAGGAGCAGTCCTGCTAGGCCACAGAGGAGGACTTTGCAGCCAGTCCTGAAGATACTTGATAAAAACAGGGTTAGATGAAAGGGGAAGAGGTCCTCCCCAATCAGTGGACTTGGAAAGGGGCAGGGAGGAAATGAGGGAGGGAGAGTGGGATTGGGAAGGAAGGAATGAGGGAGCAGATTACAGCTGGGATACAGAGTTAATAAAATGTAACTAATAATAAAAAAATTAAATTAAATTAAAAAAAGGGGGGCAAAAGAGCGATTACTAAACCTGTAATTCCAGCATTGTGAGTTCGAGGCCAGCCTGGTCTACAAAGCGAGTCTGGGACAGCCAAGGCTACACAGAGAAACCCTGTCTCAAAAAACCAAAAGAGTTATTACTATTTATTAAATGCAATCTGAATCAAGTCCTCAGTAGGCTCTCCTTCAGAGTTTAATGACATCATTCTAAAACCAACTGGAAGTCCACTCAAGACAACCAAGATGCTGGCAAGAGCCAGAAGACTGTCACTAGCACACATCAAATGTTAAGTTACACACAGAACATATAAAAACCGGCACAGAGCACAACAAACAGGAAGACCTCTAACCCCACAGGTGCAAGTTAACCAGAGAAAGGGGCTGGCTTGTCACATCATTGGGGACAGCAAAAATTTCTTGACACACTGCTATGATGAACTTGTTTTAAAAAAGAAAATTAAGTTAGATTTTCCATTACACATTAAAAAATTCCAGATAGAAAGTGCTTAGAAATACCAAGAGGTAACTAGTCTTCTAAAACAAGTACTATAGAGAGACAATAAGCATCTAAAATGCCTTAGTAAATATACTAAAATATAATTTTAGTAAATATACTAAAATTAAACATTTAAATGTTAAAGAATGAAACTAAAAGGATATATATATAGAGAGAGAGAGAGAGAGAAAGAGAGAGAGAGAGAGATCAGAATTATATGTATCAAAATGTTAATGGTTATTGTTTCCATCTGGTGGGATAATAGACTTTATTTCCTGTTATTTTTTGAATTTTCTGTAGCAAATATTTAATAAGAAATCAAGTATACTAAAAAGAAATACCCTTTATCAAAACAATT